ATTTATCAAATAAATAGGTTTTAGAGAGAAATTTTCTTTTAGGTTTCTTGATTTTATTTACTTTTATATGCGTGCATTTTTGTAAGCATTCATGAGAAATCCATTTGCACCTTTTCACTTTTTTGATGTAAGTAAATACAAAAATATATATTAAGTTTAAAAAACTAGTCTTAAAGGACCAGCCATATCTGACTCTACTTTGTAAAAAGAAAAGTACTATTTGATAGAGAAGTTGCAGTGATATAAACAAGTGGTTCTCCAAGTGTGTTCCTTGGAGCAGCAGCAGCAGTGTCATCTGGAAGCTTCTGAGAGATGTAACCTTCTGTGCCAGCGTCACCCCCAGTCTACTGATTCTGAGCTCTAGAGGCGGGGCTGGGTAGACTGCTGTGCTTTAATGAGTCCTCCAGGTGACTTTGATGCTCTTTAACACTTGAGAAAGAAGCAAACCATGCATCGCTGGACACTTACCACTCATTGTATAGACAGTGAATCTAACAGATGCTACCACTTCATTGCTATCCAGAGTGTCACACTCAAAAGCCCGGGGGTGAACATCTCTTCGTACTTCCAGGATTGCTGAATCATTTGCAAGTATAATAGGTTGCTATTTAAAAAGAAATAAGAAAGCTAGCAATGTTCTTCACTGCACTTAAGATCAGGAAACAATTTCTTTCCTTTAACAAAAGAAAAACCAGCTGGGCATAGTGAGGCACACCTGTAATCCCAGCACTAAGTAGGCTGAGGCAGGAGGATCCTCACAAGTGTGAGGTCACCTTGGACTACATACTGAGTTCAAGGCTAGCCTAACCTACACAGAGACCTTATCTCAAAAAAGCCAAAATGAAGGAAAACAGGAGAAGGGAGAAGGGGAAAGAGAGGAGGGGGGAAGAAGAAGGGAAAACTCACTGATTCTTTTAGCCCAGTGAGGGAACAGTATAAATGGAATTTGGAGTGTGACAATCCTGACTTCAAATTCAACCCTACCACTTCTTTCCTGTGTGACTGTGAACAAGTTACTTGTTATATCTCAACAACTTACCTGTAAAATGGTACAATGCTATAAATTACTTCAGAGCTGTGATGTGTTTTAAAGAAAAGACTCTTAATTCAGGATATGCTTGGCACTTAAAAAGCCTTTAATTAATATTAGTCAGTTATTATTAATATATAACTCCTCCATAACTAATGAAAACCATGCTTCCAAAACAGAATGTGCTATATAAATTGAATGTTTTTAAGTTCTGATTATATCTGACCCTAAGAAATATGTAAAATCTTATTTTCACTAAATAATAAAACATTTGAATTCTAATAATAAAGTATTAACTTCACTTTTGGAAACTTTTGAAATAGTTTTCTGACAGTTATCAGAACTGGGAAACAAATTTTATCTTTCAGTAGAAAAGTATCAGATTACATATGTTCATTACGTACTTGGTTTGACCTTAGAAGTTTCCACATATATTTGAACCGATTTTCAGGAGATATACGAATGCAAGCCAGTTTAACATTTTCAAAACTTTCTGAAATTGGTTGACCCCCTAAAGAAGAAAAATAGAAAAATATCATTGGGCTCTATAAATTGCTTCACACATGTCATTACTTTTAAAAACCTAGTTGGGCACGGTAGTGCACACTTGTAGTTTCAGCACTTGGGAAGCTAAGGCGGGAGGATTACTGCAAGTTGGAGGCCAAGCTAGGCTACAAAAGTGAGTTCAAGGTCAACCTGAATTGCACAGCAAGGCCTGGCTCAAAAAGACAAAAACAAGCTGCGGATACAGCTCAGTAGCATAAGTGCCTGTGTGGCAAGTGCAAGGTCCTGAGCTCGACCCCTGGTATCACACACACACACACACACACACACACACACACACACAAAGACAAAAAACAACACAGATGCACACACAAACAGACACACCAATCTCAGTTTTAAAATATCAATTACAAACAGGCAAGATAGCTCAGCAGATTAAAGCTTTTACTTAGGCAGAATGGAGGGACCGGGTTCTATCCCCAGCACCACAAGCTGTGCTGGACCTGCCTCCAAGATGCACTGAGACCGAGATTGAGACTGGATGTAGTGGCCTGCACCTGTAATCACAGCTCTTGGGAGACTGAAAACAGGATCACTACGAGTCCGATCTATGTAGTGAGGCCATGTTGACCCTATACTAAATGCATAAAAACAAAAAATAAAATAAAATATCAATTATGTGCTGGAAATTACAAAATCATGTTTAAGAGTTTGAGTGTAGCAGAGCAAAGTGATGGAGCCAAAGACAAAGTCACCCAAATAAGCAGGTGAGTAGACACTTTGGGTCAATGTTTTCATGCAGAATAAACTGTGGTGAAAAAATAAAGGTGATTAACTTAGTGATCTTTTACACTAAACTTTGAGATATGCTAGTGCTTTCCAATTTAGTGATTAGGAAACCTCATTAGACAGTGAAGCATCAGGATAGCATAATTTGATATATAACCGTTTCCAAGTTCTCAATTTAAGGTTTACCAATCTTCTTATAAAATTTATGACCAAAACATCAAAGGTGTTGCTGTATGGGACAGACTCAACCACAAACCCCAAGTACAATGAGGCTTCTCTAGGTTATAAAAGATACATTTGTTAAATTTTAGACATCACTGAAAAAATGTAAAACAAAAGCAGAAAGTTACTCAGAGCTGTGTCTAGAGAATTATTTAAATTTTTATAATTTCCTTTCAGTGTATCAACTGATTGTTTGATTGCAACCTGTAGCCATCTGAGGTTAAGGGTATTCTCCTGGACTACACTTTTTCCTGGTCACCCTCCATGACAGTTTTCACTCACAGCCACAATCTACTGGTCCACGGCATTCTTCTACCCGAACAATACACTTGGATTCACCTCCAGGGCACCCATTTGTTAATATAACTTCTCTAAAACCAATACCTTTGGTGAAAAAGAAAAATAGGCAAATGTTAAGAAAAACTAATGGTAGAAGACTTTTATTACCCTATCCAGGTGTGTTTTCCTTCTTTTTTTCCTTTCCTTTTCCTGCCCACTCTTTCTCCCTTCTCTCCCTTTCTTCTCTATTTACTACTAATTTTAGAAATCAAATTCCTAAATTCAGAATAGTGACATTTAGAATTTTCTTAGGTCCCTCGTTCTGAATTGTTTCCATAAAACAGTATTTTTAAAGTGAGTTACATAAAGCACTAGCCTCTCTGGTTTTTACTGCAAGGAAAAGGATTTTAGGACCACATACAATCTGATAATGGTACATTAAATAAAGTCAAACTTTTTAACATGTCAGTAAATGTGTTATTGAATATAAATTTTCACTGACCTAAGATGTAAACATTTTTGCTTTTTAACATCTTTGAAATCAAAACACATAATTATGTCTTATCATAAATTGGCACCCACATTTTTCCTTTTTGAAGTATGTATACTGTGCTATTTACAGTCAATAAAATCAGATTTGGTAAACTATAAATTATACATGATCTGTCAAGAAATGATCATACAACTGTTTGGAGTGTGAGGTGAAGCCTCTGAAGATTAGGAAAATTTTCTCAAATCACCTAAAGATTTCACTGAGATGCAAATTCTGACTAAATCTGGAGAATGTCTAAGGTTCTACTTTCTAACAAAGTCTATGTTGATGAAAATGCACCAACCTGTGGCACAATAAATAGTATGGGAGAGGAGTAGGACCATAATATTATGGGAAAAGAGGATGGAATGATAGAAAGTAAAGGTATCTTTTGATTAAAAGAGATGGCTGAGAATGGCTGCATTATGGTTCCACTTAAATTTATGAAAGATATCTGCATAAATGTTTTGCAAGCAGGCACTTTATGTATTTATTTACAGGTATATAGGCATGAGATTTTCCAAGTAACACCTAAAAATCCTAAAGAGAACCAGAGATTACAAGAAAACTTTTAACTGCTAAAATACTGTTTTAGGACTTAAAATAGCTTTCTCACTAAAGCATTTTTCTTTCCCACATATGCCATCATTTTAAAATGAAAAGATTTCTAAAATTTAGAAATGAAATGTTACTTTTTTCTTAAATTCATTATCATCTAAATTCTACATCTTAGGGCCAGTGAGATAGCTCAGTGGACTAAGCACCTGCTTAGGCAAGTACGGGGACTGGGGCTCAATCCCTGGTATCACATGCTGTGCCAGACTTGCCCCTGGGCACACTGAGCACAATCAAGTCTCAGTGTGGTGCTGCAAGCCCATAATCCCAGCACTGGGGAGGCTGAAAACAGGAGGATCACTATGGGTCCGAGCTGTGTAGTGAGACCCTTTATCAATTACATTAAATAATACATCTTTTACATATTACTTCTCCATCTGTCCCTACGAAAAATAATTGTGTCTGTTTTGTTCACTCCTGAAACCTCAGAATCCATAATAATTCTTGATTCTAAGTAGACAAAAAGTTCTTAAAAAACACAAAATCACTTCCTGGGCAATTTCTTTAATGAAGGAAAGTATCGATTACTAGAGTTATCACAAAAATAATTCTCTATGAAAATTTCCTGAGTAAACAGCAAAAGAAAGGTAAACAGTAAATGAATAATCATAGGTTTTTATATAACTTCCCTTCATTTGGTCTCTTGACTTCCTATAAAATTAAGATAAGAACCAAGTTTAAAACTACACTAAGAAAATGGGCATGGTGGTGCATTCCTAAAATCCCAGCACTATGGGAGGCCCAGGCAGGAAGATCACAAGTTTGAGCACATCTTGGGCAACTTAGTGACTTAACAAGGACTGGGAAAGGCAGCTCAGTGCAAAAGCCCTGGGTTAATAAAAAGGTGGGGGGCGGTGAGGTAACTCAGCAGACTAAGTGCCTACTTAGGCAAGTGCAGGGACTGGGGTTTGATCCCTGGTACCACATGCTGCACTAGCCCCACCCGCAGGCATGCTAAACCAGCCACCAAGTCCAGGCATGGTGTTACATGCCTGTAATCACAGCACTGGGGAGGCTGAAAACAGGAAGATCACTATGAGTTTGAGCTGCACAGTGAGACCCTACACAAAATTAAAAAAAACACCAAAAAATGGCAAAACCCAGCCCTGGATTCAGTTCTTACTACTGCAAAGACAAGCAAACAACCAAAACAAAAAGGCCATCCTATCAGATAGAAAAAATAGGGGTTTTCAGGAGAAGGAAGAAAAGGGCTGTGCAGAGTGTTTAATGAGTGTGGGTTTCGGGTAGGGCTACTGAATTTAAAATGATTAAAATAGTTAAATTTTGTTAGTTTTTTTCTTTTTACCACAGTAAAAAAGCTATATCAAAATAATTCAGATATACATTTTGATCAAAAATATTCTGACCTAGATGGAATGTTTTTATTTTTAGCTTCTAATTATTTCCTTCTCATCACTGTCATTTTTTTTTCCAATACAAGTTTCTACTTAGGATAAATTTAATTTTATTGTGAATTACCCGTTGTCTTCTCAAAGGATAGTGTTCTAACCAGTGAGATAAGCTTCACTATAAACTTATTAGAAATTCAAATTCTTAGGCCTATCCACAGTCTTAGAAACTCTGCAGTAGGATAGATGTTTGAGGACTAGTAATCTTTTATAACACAAGTAACCTTAATCAAGCCCTCATGTAAGAGACTGTATAAGCAATTTCTATCCATGGAACAATCCAAATAAGTCATGTTCTTTTACCATTATCTTCCCCAGAAAGCCAATATCTCTTTTCTCCAGGATATAACATAAAAATTGGAGAATGGAGAATTTAGAATAGACTATCACAAATAAGCATATTTCTTGATAGATTTGCCAACACAGTATGTGGGAAGACATCTGTCAGATGCACTAGAAAAATCATGTTCTGAACATCTGTGAGATAGGGAAATTTTTACTTTTGTGAAGACAGTTTATATAGCAAAAAGTAACAGGCAGTTGGCTTAAACGTTAGGGGTTATGAACTGAAAACACTTTACCTTTTGAAGCAATTGTCTAAGTGTTGCATGTAAACTATAGTTAGTAGATACAGAAAGTAGTAAGGGATGAAAAGAATGCAAACTACAAATAAACAGCCATATAATTTGTTTTTACCCCCCCATACAATGAGTTATTCAACTGTTTTGTTGTACTTACCACATGTAGCTGTGCACATTCCAAATTCTACTTCTTTGACTACTGTCTTGTTCAAAACTAAACATAAAGTATAAAATGCATTATTTAATAATATGAAACCTGTTATGCGTTTTATTAACCTGTTATGCGTTTTATTGTATACAGGCTAAGGGCCTTATTCTGGTAGATTCATATGTGCACATAACATACTTGGATCATTTCTGCCTCCCAACCCAATGCACTTCTTTCCCCTTCCTCTTGTTCCAGGCCTCCTCTCTAATTGACCTCCTCCTACTTACATACAAAAACTTCTCTAAGTGAAAAACTTCTTACTTGGGGGTGAGGAATACAAAGCCATTACCTGTATATATATGTCATCATCTAAATTAAAAGAAACCCAAGCCTTTAAAGAAGTTCATAAAGTAGGAAATAAAAGCAGGTATTTCAACTTCGTATATAGCTTACATGTTTTTACCATCAGTTGATACACAAGTAAAAATTCTGTTTGAAAGAAAAACATGTTTAAATTTTATGCACTTCCCCCCTACTTATTTTCCAAAGAAAAAGTGAAATGCCTAATTTTCATTCAAAATAAAAATTTTAATATCAAATGTTCATTAAATTATAAAAGTTATAGATTTGTTTTACTCCTTTCCAGATTAAGATGAATTTAAATATTTCTAAGAATTTAATGCTTTATTTAGTAGGACAACTTAGGAACATAGTTATTTGAGAAGTTATTCTGAGTTTTAAATCATGTTTCCTTTTCTTCTAATCATAATATAGTTTGACATGAATTCCAGGAGCTACAGGTAAAATCCTAGCCCAGATTGGGGCTGAAATCTCAGTAGAAAAAACAAGGTGCTAAAAGATAATTTGTAAAATTCATTGTATCTTGGGGCAAGAAATCACATGGGAAAGTACATTGAACTTGAAATCCAGAGAACTGCCTCTACTACTAATTAGCTGTGAGTTTGAGCAACTTAAATTCTGTCAGGGCCAGTTAACTCCTCATAAAATTTGGAAGAATGTATCTAATCTGATTCATACTAAATAAGTATGTGTGAAAGAATTCTATAAATTATTTAGCTCTATAAATATGCTTAAGAATAATTGTACACAATTAAAAATCATTTTGTAATTATTAGTTTCATATATTACTAAAAATTATTTCAATATTGATTATTGTAAAAGCTCAACAGTTTATGCAAGCACCAAATTCAGTATTTTAAGTAGGTATCTGATACGTACAAGTAAAGCAATATTGACTTTGTTAAATAAATGGTTTAGATTATCAGAGTGATCAAATTTGATTTGACATTTTTCTGCTTTGAATGTTTAAATACTTTCAGCTGGTACTTTATGAGTTATAGTGAAAACAGAAAACAAGGATAAGGGCTGGAGATATAGGTGAACATCAGAGCTCTTGCCTAGCATGTGGGAGGCCCTGGTTCAATTCCACAGTCAAAGGTTTATCAAACTCTTACCTATATAAATAGTATAAAATATCTTTTGTAGGTACATAGAAAGGTATATAAGGTATAAAAATGGCATAAATGCACACATACAACATATTTTTGTGATTCTTTCTTATCTTGAAACATGTATGATTTTGACCACACAAATAGAAAAAGAACCAGAGTGAAGATAAAGTAGACTCTACTAGAGATGTACTTGAAATCTGGAATCAGTATCTACAAGATGAGTATGTTCCAGGTTCATGCTTAACAGTTTGAATATTTAGTTGCATTCAAATTACTTGATCCAGTTAGAGCATGTACATCTTCAAAACTATGATTTAGTGAATAAAAATTGGGGGTTTGCTTATGACTAAATTCTATTAAAATTTCTAACTAAGATAGAAATTACTATTTTATATATATAACTAAGATATTATTACTATTTTAAATTTTATAAATTAGAAAGTGACTTAAAACTGAAAAATTTTAGTTTCCTAGTTGGTAAGTAGTGATCATTGTTTTTACTGGTCCATTATGGTTAGAAGAGCTGTACTTTTTTTTTTTTTTTTTGCGGTACCAGGGATTGAACACAGGACTTTGTGCTTGCCCGGCTGGCACGTATGCTACTGAGCTATATCCCCAGCCAAGCTGTACAAAAGTTATCAGTGGTCCTAGAAATTTTCAGATCTCTGATACCTCTGGTGGTTTGTAGTTCTGGATTCTCAATTTCCCCCAGAAAATACACTTGTGCATAAAATTGTATATATAATATTTCAGAGTGTACCTGGACTTCCTGACGTCCACAGATGAGAAAACTGAGACACTAAGAAAATAACTTACCTAGATTAGAATCAATGTAAAGTATTGTAAACACAATCACTTGGCTGTAGCCTAAATAGTATCCCAGCATTTAACAGCTAGAAGTGTCCTATGACCAGCTTAATACTAAAATTGTTCACTTGATTACTTAAAGTATAGAAAGAAGCAATAGCTACTATGCTTTAGAATGTTCTCCTCTTGCCTAGTCATTTTTCTTTTTCACATTTCCAAAGAGAGACCTATTCAAACTCTCTGTAATGTTATCAAGACAGTACAAACCTGGATCCCACTATTAACCTTGAATAGTCAATTTCTTTCTGACAATGGTTACTATCTGTCATCAGGGGAAAAACAAATAAAGGCTGATAGACACAGCAACGACTCCACATGTAGAGACTGAGGAGGCAGGAGAATGTCAAGGCTATTAAAATTGTCAGCTGGGTCATTTATGGGGGAAGGGAATCATCTTCCTTTAAGAAGGCTGCAAACTTGCAACTGACCTTTTGCCTACCAGTATGTGTCACTAATCCATATAACATGCACTACAGCTTGTCAAGTTTTATTACTTAATGAACCAGCATTATAACGCAAATTTATGTAACAAGAAAGGGCTTGGTTAACACATTCTCACCCAACGATGATGCCATTCCCTTGATAGGTGTTTTCCTCTGCCACTATTCTTTTGAAGTTAAACATACAAATTAGACACTATCCTGCTGTAAAGGTGCTGAATGCAGACATGCGGCTTTGAGACAGTTTTGTCAACATATTAGTCTAAATGTGTCGCAGTAAAGGGAATTATGAATTCCACTGTTTCCATCAAAGGGAAAGAGGCCGACTTCAAGCACTCTGTAACTTAAGAAAACCAACTCTACAGTGGAAAGGAAAAATGACTGCAATAATAGTCAAGATGATTCTCCTGCATGGAACAGCCTTCCTTTTAATTGCATCTCTTAACCAAAGTTTTTCCTTCTCCAGGCACCATTTAAAAGTATACAACCTTCTTCAAGGCCCTAACATGCACAGAATCGATAAACTCCGGCTACTATAGGAGAGAGAGCACGCCCTACAGAGAACAACACGCTAACTCTAGTCGGGGACAATGAGCGGGCTGTCGCCTTCCCGGCAGCCTCAGCATCCCGCAAGGAACCTCTGCCCTCACCATCATCTGTGGCCTCAGTCGGGCCTTCTGTCTCCTCCACTTCGCTGTAGCTGTCCTCGTCGTTCTCGCCCTCGCCCTGGCCCTCCGCCTGGCTCTCGGCTTGGCTCTCGGCCTGGCTCTCGGCCTGACTCTCGGCCTGACTCTCGGCCTGGCTCTCGGCCCCTTGGGTGAAACCCGGGTCCTGAAGGGCGGTGACGTTCGTCGCACTTGAGGCCCGAAGGCTCGCCAGGAGCAGCCAGCCCAAGGTCAGCAGCAGCCCAGCTGGGCAACCCGCGCCCCCAGGGCTCATGATTCCGGCCCGACGGCCGCCCAGCACACAGCAGCAGTCCGTCCCCTCGCCAGTGAGAAGGCGCGTCGCGACGAGGAGAGAAGCCACGCCACAACCACTCCGAACTTCGGGGCCTGGCCCAGGCAACCATTGACACGTCAGGATTCGTCACGGGCTTTCCTGTCAACTGCGCATTACCGCCCCTGGGCGTGGCTACCGCGTGCGTGCGTGCGTGCGTGCGTGTGTGCATCCTTGCGTGACTTCCGGGTATGCCGGGTGGCCTCGGGATAACCTTTTGGTATTCTTTTTTCCCGTGTTTTCTCCTTCTCCCTCAAGCGCTACTCTTGTGACTTGGTTTCCGAATTCACTATCCAAAATATCTGACCTGGTAGGTATTAAGAAAAACTCGGCAGAGTCTTATTAAGTATGGTGCCCCAAACTGGATCTTAGAACTGCAAGTGAGATTTGTCTGTAGAGGATATCCCAGAGTCCTTTGGTTCTGCGATTTTAGCACTACTGTGAATGCAGCTTAAGGGTGTACTCGTATTTTAAGATGTTGTGTGGCAACATCAACTCTGTGGAAGACTTCTTGAGCTGATTAGGGTGGGGAGAGAATAAGGGAAGAGCTGCCAAACTGATTTGTCCTCATTCTATTTCTAGGTAGCTCATGTTTTGGGTACCAGTTATGGTACCTAACTTTCGTTGCTGTAATTTCGTTCCTTGCTTTTGACCTTGTGTGGTTTCTTCCCTTGTCTACAGATACATTTGAATCCTAAATTCTGTGGCCTTAACATATTAAACATGTCTCTCAAGGTTGATTTGAAAAATACTTCTGGTGATATAGCTCAGCGGCATAAATGCCTGCATGGCAAGCATAAGATTCTGAGTTCGATCTCTGGTACCAAAAAAAGAAAGAAAAGAAAAAGTACTTCTCCTTTAGATCACTGCCTTAGAAAGAGAGAAAAAGAACAATAAAAAATAAAGCCTTGCAGATCATAAATAAAACCATGTAGGGTTACTGTGACAAATGCTGCATTAATCTACACGTTGATTTATACCTAATAGTCTGTTCTTTCACCAGAAGAGTTAACATCTTTTACCAAGATTGAATTGGACTAAAAGCAAGAATACCATCAAATACTACCTTGACATTTTCACTTGAATCCTAGAAAATATTAGGGCTTAAGTATAACTCCCCACGGCCTTATTCAGTATCAGTATATCAAATTATGTCATAGCAGTAAGTGAAACTGAATTAAGTTTGTTTTGTGGGTGATGTAAATTTTTAGGTCTAATTAATTCACACTTCAGGAATAGAATCATAGACTTAGAAGCTTAGAAGTCTTTTATATACTGCAAATCCCTCATTATTGAGGACATTAGAAACTGGACAGATTAAATGACAAGCCCAAGATCATCCAGCAAATGATTTGAAAAGTGGGAAACTCACAACCAGATGTCCCAAATGCTTATGCAATGGTTTGTGATTCTTATAATTTAAAGTTATTAATGAAGGTATACTTAGTGGAGTGATTCAAAGTCTGAATTTAGGCACTGAAGACAAATTAGGGTTGACCTTTTTTATTTTTGTTATTCCTATTTTGATTTCATCTAGTAGTTACAATATGATAGCTTTTTATTACTGCTGTTTTTGAAAAGATGCATATGATGACATATGTACTGAGACATTCTGTGTTTGAATTTCTATGACACATAGGATGAAGAGTCACAGTGCAAGGTGAATTTGAAGCTTAAACTGGCTTTTGGAGCATTTGTCTGTTTGGTCTTAGCCGACTAACGGGTAAGCAGGGGACTCTCAGAGCCACTTATTTGTAACAAAATTGGATAACCTGAAGCAAAAGCCACTATTTTTATTGAAATTGCTTTTCTTGTCAAAGGGACTTCTGTTACTGGCAATACAAGAACTTCTAAAAATGGTCAGTATTAAAATCTAAGATTATATTGGCAAGGAATCTCTGGGCATATTACATATGAACTAAAATGCCATAAAATACAATAGCACCTGACACGATTATGAAAGTCATTAAAATGGGAAATTTAAAGACATTTGAAAAAATAAAAGACAGATTTGAGAAGTAAAGGTCTTTTTGACTCATGAGCAAATAAATCATTTCTTGAATGGTGAGAAAAATAAAGAATCATGGTTTCAAATATGAACTTTAAAAAGATCTATAGTATCATCATGGATAAACTGGTGAGTGTTTCAAAGTCAACTTTAGGATCTATCTTCCTGAAGGTTCCCATTTTGAGCAGAGGAAGTGTTGCAAACCCTTCATTAATGGCCTAAGAAACAGCTCCAAAGGCAATCTAAATGAGTCTCAAAGAGGAGCTGGACGGTATAACTCTGAAATAAAGAATATTTTGTACCAAAAAGCAACAATATGTCACTTGTAAAATATTGTATGATTTCTATAACAGTTTTCTTATATAAGAAAAAACATATCTGCTGTATAGAAATGTACACTCCCTAGGCAGTGCCAAAAATTAGTGAAAGCAAAATTTTAACCGGGGTATATGAAGGGTTTGATCCTGTTCTGATCTGTGGATAGCAAGGAGTGGGAATCCAACTTTAGTCCTCACTTTTCAGCTCTGGCTCTGCTCCCCTCAGTTTAGTTTGTTAATGTGATAAATTATATTAACTGATGTTCTAATGCTCATCTAACACTGTTATGCTGAGAGAAATCCACTAATTACAATGTACTACCCTTTTATATATGGATGCATTCATTGGCTATTTTGTTTAGAATTTTTACATCAATATTCATCAAGAGTAGTGGTTTATAGTTTTCCCTTTTGCAATATCTTTGGATAGTTTTGGTATCACTGAATGCTGGCCTCATAGATTGACTTGGTAACTCTTCCATGTGCTTTTTCATAGTAACTTACCATGCAATGGAATAAAATATGCAACATGCACAATTTAAAGAAGACAGGTTTGTTTGCCATACAGTTTCCAATGGGTTCCATCTAAACTTTAGCTGGCTCCAAGGCAGAAGTAGAATAGTGAAAGGGCCTGGCAGAGGACAGCTACACATTCCATGCAAATCAAGAAGCAGAGAAAGAAAAGAGCCAGAGACAAGAACATGCTTTTCTGTTTCATGTTCCAGTGGTCCACCTATTCTAACCAGTCCATGCCTCCCCACTGCACATTCGGCTCTAAAGTCATCACTCTACTACCCCCATAATCCATTTACTTTTCAAACACATGAGACCGGGGGAACATTTTAGATCTAAACAATAATGGCCTTGAAACAGATGTGTCCTTTGTCACATTGGAGTGGAGACTTCTTTAAATGCCACCTAGGTCAAGTTGGTTGATGTTTGTCAAACCAGCTAATTCCTTGTTGATTTCATGTCTGTTTGTTCTAGCAATTATTGAAAAAAGGATATTGAAACCTAGTTATAATTGTGGATTTAGTCTCCTTCCTTACAGTTCTATCAGTTTTCCGTATTGGGAAGCTCTATCATTAGAGACATACATAATTAAGATTTTTATGTTCTCATGATAAATGACCCCTTTGTCTTTTGAAATAATATCCTTTATAATGGTCTTTTTCTTCTGAAATGTATTTTCTTATTAAAAATGGGAATCCACCCTTTTATTGACTAATATTAGCATCGGATAACACTTTCTGTCCATTATACTTTTAACTTGTTGTAACCTTATGTTTCAGTTTATTCTTAGTAGTCAGCATATTGCTATTTACTAAATTAAACTTTTTATTTTGAGAAAAGCATAGCTTTACGTGCAATGTAAGAAGCAATACAAATTCTTTGTGTCATTTATCTAGTTCCCCAGTGGTAACATACCCTTACCAAGTATTGAATTTTAATTTTAGCCATTTTGATAAATGTGCCATATATTCTAAATACTAATTCTCTGGTGGATATGTGGCTTACAATTATTTTCTCAGGCTATAGCTTCTTTTTTATTCCCTTAACAGGGTCTTTACACGGGTCAAATGTTTTTAATTTTCATGAAGCCCAATTCATCAGTGTTCCTTTGATAGAAAATGTTGTTAGCATCAAATCCAGGAACTCCTTGCCTAGCCCAATTTCCTGAATAATTACTCCTAAAATGTTCTAGAAGCTTTATGGTTTTACATTTTATATATAAGTCCATCACATAGTATGAGTTAATTTTTGTATAAAATGTGAGGCTTGGATTTTTAACACACATATATCTATTCACTCCATTTTATAAATTGAATTATGAAGGCATCATTGCCAGAGATCAGTTTGCTATATTGATCTATTTCCGGGTGCACTGTTTTCTTCTGCTCATCTGTTGTATATCCCTGTGCCAGAGTTACACAAACTATGGTAAGTATAAAATTAATTGTAAAGTGGAGTAGACTCTTCTACCACTGTCTTCTTTTTCAAAGTTATCTTTTTAAAGGAATTGTAATTCTTTTGCCTTTTATATAGATTTTTAGAATAATCTGTATATATCTATAAGAAATCTTACTGAAATTTTTATAGCTATACTTATTGCATCTTAATCTTTTTACTTTCCCTCCGGCTCACATTCCTCTCACCATCCTGCATTCTTCAACCCCTTTCCAGTCTGCAAAATATCTACCTCTCAACTTCCTATCATCTATCTTTTAATGTGCCCTTTAACTTATTTATACTTTGGGTTTCACATATATTAACTATGAGATACTTATCCTGTGTGTGATGTGTTTCACTTAGTATTATAATATTTTCTTTATCCATTTATCTATTAATGGCTATATAGGACATTTCCAAGATTTAGCTGTTATATATGGTAACATATGTGGGCATCATTACCAGAGATACTATAAACAGGAATGCTTGTATCACCATAATATGATACCTTTAACTCTTTGGGGCATATTCTCAGAAAAGGTAGAGTTGGGTTGAGTACAATTTCTAGTTTTAGATTTTTGAGGAATCACCGTTACTGATTTCCATAGTGGTTGTGTTAATTTACACTTCCAGCAACATTGTAAGCTTTTATTTCTCTACAACCTTGCCATCCTTTTGTGTTTTTTGAGTTTCAGATATAGATAGCCATTCTTTCTAGAATAAACTTCTGAGAAGTGTCTGTCCATTTCAACTGCCCATTTTTTAAT